TGATATGAATAACCCGCTCATATGTAAATATTACTTATTATTATGTCTGGTTATGACATTGTCAGAATTCTTGTGATAAATGTACTAGAGTCAGACCTAGCTAACGCTTCAATCAGACGTCAAGGTATAAGGTAAGTGTACAATTTATAATTTCTGCTGTACAAAGTAGAATAGAATAAACACAAATTTAGTTAACTAAGTCGAAAAGAATTAACTAAAATGAAGCTTTCAAAGTAAAATAGAATACATGGAAATGCTGCTTATAACGTAAAATAGAATATATGGAAATGTAGTTTACAAAGTAGATCTAGAATTAAATAAACGGAATTCTAGCTATAAAGTAGAATAGAATAAATGGAAATGTACATTAAAAGTAGAAAATAATAAAAAGGAACTTTAGATAGATAAATATTAGAGCTGTTGATTACCTAAACACATTCTATAGATGGATTGTAGGCTACATAGAATAGTTGAATAACAACTGTAGGCTACTTAAGGAAAACCAACTGTTATATTCTTTATAAATGGAAGTATAGTTTTTTAAAATGCTAGAATTATTTTTTTGTTTCAACATAATTTATGGTCATAAAATTAAATATTATTTTAGTACTAAAGTCATTTACAAAAGGCAATACTAATTTGCTAAACAACAGCTTCGGTGCATTGATTGTGCACTAACAGCTTTAAAAAGATCCAATACTGCACATCAAATTATCGTTTGATGAAGTGGTACAGGCTGTCAAATGTGTGATGTGAGTTCACCTATGGATAACAACTTTTATGTGAATTGATTTTTAAAAAAATGGTGTACTAGTAACTTCCCGTGTCTCGTGTATCTATTTGAAACTATATTATATCCTGCACCATGATGGCGTTCGGTGATTTAAAAAAAAAGACTTTTATAAATAAATCAATAAACATCAACATAAAGCGGTGTGGTCGGATAGTAGGGAATGTATGAAAGTCTCGAATTTGGACTTGAGTTCGTATGAACGGGACTGAGCCCACCCAGCTCTATTGGGTGCCAAACTCCGGGAAACTAAAGGCAGCTTGGCAGAGCTGAAGAAATCCTTTCATATGCCGAGGTCACATGTGAAATCTACTTCATCTGCCAGATAGAGTGTTTATTCCAAAAGAGTAATTTTATAATATAGGCCATATATATCAAATAAACGGATCGTAACAAGGGGTTACAGAATTAGCTTGGTAAGGGGTTAAGGGGTGAGTTGGGTGAAAAAAATTGCTGTTATTACCCGCCCCACCCTCTCCTTGAAACCCACCATAGTGGACAATGTAGGTGTTATTTAGGGAGGGGGGGGGGGCAACACCAAATCACGCTAGGAATGAACCAATCAAATTGGCCTTGGTGATAAATAAAAAGAACGAGCGAGTAAGTGATGTTAAAGTTAAATTGTTATTTTAGCTTTGTAGGCGGTAGGGATATTTTGTTACCGTGGTTGTTGATGTGAATATTTCTTTTAGAGCAGTTGTTCATGTGAATGTTTCTTTTAGAGCAATTGTTGATGTGAATATTTCTTTTAGAGCAATTATTGATGTGAATATTTCTTTTAGAGCAATTGTTGATGTGAATTTTTCTTTTAGAGCAATTATTGAAGTGAATGTTTCTTTTAGAGCAATTGTTGATGTGAATATTTCTTTTAGAGCAATTATTGATGTGAATATTTCTTTTAGAGCAATTGTTGATGTGAATATTTCTTTTAAAGCAATTGTTGATGTGAATATTTCTTTTAAAGCAGTTGTTGATGTGAATATTTCTTTTAGAGCAGTTGTTGATGTAAATATTTCTTTTAGAGCAGTTGTTGATGTAAATATTTCTTTTAGAGAAGCTGTTGATGTGAATATTTTTCTTAAATTAGTTTTTGATGTGACCATTTCTTTTGGAATCGTACTGGTGCGAACAACAATGTTGAGCCCGGTTGTAGCTTTAAGTTATTTGACAGAACTGGACGTGTAACTCTCCCAACTATCTACCTTTGACTCTTGCTCATGACCGTGTTAATTAGCTACAAAATATAGTTATGTTGTCTTCGTGTATTGCTAACAGAATGTAATGTGCACTACGTGATCTGGTCACGTATTTACAAAATCTGAGTTCTCCTGACTTGCCAGTTGGACGCGGAGCTGACATGCGATCTAGCGACCAATCAATCAAGTTCCAACAGATATCAGAGCAACCGAGGACATTTTTATTAAATGGTTAAATGGTGGTGGCGGGGGGGGGGGGGGGGGGGTGTGGTAGCTAATGAAAAAGGTTACGTTTTCAATTGAATAAAAAGCTAGCATTTTTGACGTCTGAATTTTCTCACCATTAAGTTTGATTAAAATAACCAAATTTTTTCTCTGTTTGGCAGAATATTTTCAAATTATTCGTCATTCTCATAGTATGTGTGTACGTTAGTGTGAGTCACACAAGTAGTAGTGACGTAAGTTGGTCTTATATGCTTACCTTTATTACGAAACAAGGATTAATAAGGATAAATTACATTGCTTTTTAAATTCGTTTTGGTCTATCGCAACCGAATATTCGCGAATAAATTATTCGGCTTATTATTATAATTTAACCAATAACTTGCTGGTTTCTGATCGTGTTTAACACTAATGCACATTACAGAAAATTTATTTGCCAGAAAAACTAAAGATGGACGTAGAGACCAGCATTCAAGTGGCCGACTATGTTGTATGTGTTGTTGTCTTGTTGATTCCTATGGCCATCGGGATTTTGTTCGCTGTTAAAGACGCGAAGAAGGCGACCAGAGAGGAATATTTGTTTGGAGGAAGACGGATGTCCCTTGGACCTGTGGCTTTGTCACTTTTTGCTACATACATGGTATGGTTGTTTATTAGAGACTAAGCTTGAGAGTTGAATAGATGTACTTACCTTAAGCTTTCGCTGGCTAACATTATGTTATGCAAATCTGCCATTTTCAACAACATACCTAACAGTTGGCACTATTCACTTGGCATTATATTATTGAGACCAAAAACATGTGTATCTATAAAGGCTTTACATTTTATAAGTACATAGATCTAAACATAATATTAGCTCCACTTGAAATAGAACATAGTGTATAGCATAAGTACATATGTCTAAATATAGTATTAACTCTACATACCTAAAATAGTTGTTTCAAAAATAACCATTCTACAGCCTAAAATTTGCTTTGTTAACATACGCATTTAATTTAATCATTTTTTATAGTAAATGAACGGACAAAATATACACATTAGCTCTTAAAAACCCTACAATAGTTTGTTCAAACTTAAATTTTGTGGAGTTACAATGTCAAAAAGATGTTACAGTTGACATAAAAATAAATAATTACTTTAAAAATGTTTTTAAAAACTTTTTTAAGATGATTAGATGCGAGCGTACCCCTCCCATGTGTTGCCGCAAGCTGATGTGGTATTTTAAGAGGATTTCGTGCATTTTTAAAAAATCTTAGTGTTAACAGCGCCGGCGCTATAATGTATCTTAGATGTTGGGGCGCGGCGTGCTGAATGAACGCTTTTAGTGAACTTTAAAGACCCTCCTTAATATTGAGGTAAAAACACACCTCGGTGAGGGCCAATTTATTAGGGGCGTCGCGGGTCTCTCTCTCGCCACCGGTTGCATTACAGTAGGGGCGCCTGATGCAACCCTTGTTTCGGTTTAGTCATCTAATGTAGCGGCCAACCGTATCCAATTGTGGGCGCCATAGTGCTTACTGGGGAGTCCGGAGTGCTACGGGTCACACTAACGCCAAGGCGCCGGCAGACGCGTCTGGTTCGATTTAGCTAATGATTATAGTAACCCATTGTATAAATATTCTATTTTGATCTTTAAAACGAACGTAGGCGACATAGTGCTGATGGGAGAGTCTGGGGCGCCGCCCCGGGACGCCGGTGGACACGCCTGGTTTAATTTAATCAAATTACTCAGGGGGTGCCAAGGGATCTTTGTCATACAAAGATTAAAGTTAATTAAAGTAGAAAGAAACATACGAGAAACGATCGATCGCAATAGAAGGGTACATATTTTACCATAACTTCACTTTCACCTTAACCCCCCCCCCCCCCACCCCCCCACCCTCCTACACAGACATTTTTTCTATTCTCGCATATTGAATGTGATTGTCATAGTATCGTATTTGAAAACATGTTCCCTCGGACATGTTCCCTGAAGATAAACTTAATTTTTAAAATTCTTAAAATTATTCATCCCCTCCCCATTCACTCCAAGTATAAAAAGTACTTTAAATTGTAAATCGCTATTTACAAATGGTATTGAACTGCGCGATGAACACAGTAAAAAATAACCTGATAATATTACCTCAGAAATGAAAAAAAAACTACAAAAAAAACTACACACAAGGTTCGATGGAATATTATGTACCTTCGGTGCCTCGGATAGTCTGGGTCTAGGCTCTGAAAACACAACCTTCCTATCCCCTACGGCAACCGAAACGCCATCTAATATCCGCACCAAACATATAAAAGTAAAATAAAAACAAATATCTTCACGCACTAGGTGCGCCAAACGCCCACACATATACTGACCTGATATACATTCTACTCGGGACAAAAAGAAAAAAAAAATCCGAGCGGTCAGTTTATATACTGACCGCTTCGGGCGGAAGGGGAAACCCCGTAGCCGCTCTCCAGTGGACCCTTCACGCACAGATTCGCACACAATATAATAATACAAAATAAATCATCCATTCACCCGCTCACATATAAAAATTCATCTATAATTTTCCATATCAGAAACGGCTCAGAATATAAAAAAAATATTTGTGAATCAAAAAAATTATCCACCCTTTCCTCTAATCACACACATTTAAAAAAAGTTAGTAATAATTGATTGAATTTCTGAGATCTGATTAGAGATTATTGCTTGAACCTCCCACATACTTAAGATGTCATACAATGTTTTTATACGTACTGAATTAGTTCGTCTGATATTAAAATATGTTTTAAATGTCGTCCTCCTCAGTCAGCCATCTCTTTAATCGGCACCGCTGCCGACTTGTATACCTACGGCGCTATGACAGTCATCATGTATGTCGGATTTTCTCTCAGTTACGTCATCGGTCTGTTCACCATTGTGCCGCTGTTCTATTCCCTACAACTGACAAGTATCTATGAGTACTTCGAGTTGAGGTTCCACTCACGTGCAGTGAGGATGTCAGCACTGACCATTGGTATGTTACAGACCATCTGCTACATGGCTATTGCCTTGTTTAGCCCAGCGTTAGGGCTACAGGTCAGTGATAGTTTTGGTATATCAATAACATTTTAAAATGTTTATAAGCCATTTCGTGATTTGAGCTCTATTGTAGGTTTTTAATAATGTCAACGAAAATCATATGATATATTAAATGGAATTGAAATATTATTGGCTCCAAAAGTTTCTTAAGCATTTTGAGTCATTAACATTGTAATATTAGCCTACACCTGAACATGTTTTCACATTTCTCTAAAAAAAATCCTTATATTGGTAGTATTAGTTATGCTTAAAATAACTACAGTTAAAAATGTTTCATTTATCCGTTTTAAAAACATTAGACAACAGCGAACATCCCATTGTGGATGTCTATTGTTATTGTTGGCATCATCGGCACCGTGTACTCAGCTCTGGGTGGTATCAAGAGCGTTGTCTGGGCGGACGCTTTTCAATGTTTCGTCATGTTTGGTGGGGCTCTTCCTATTATTATCGTTGGTAAATATTTTTTCTTCTTTAATAATTTGTGTCATTATCTGGCGTGTCTGTTTATTTGACCGTCGTTATGTTTTACTCATCATTAATCTCAGTAGAATGTAGCTCAGTATATTCTATTAAGTGATTTGTTGATTATAATGTCCAAAACGTTATAATTAGACGTGGCATGTAATCAGCAATAGATCATGTTATACAACTGTGATTTTTAAATATCTAATATGAAACGTTTCAATTTCTTGATGTTTCAAACAGCTATACAAACAAAATAAAAGATTACAAATTTTTACATTGTTTGTTTCATCGATATTTCAAACAGGTATAAAAACAGCAGGTGGGTGGTCAGAGTCGTGGCCACTAGCTGTGAAAGGTGGAAGAGTTTCTTTTGACTCCTTCGACATTGATCCAAGAGAAAGACATACCTGGTGGGGAATGGTTATGGGCGGCGCATTCTTGTGGTAGGTTAGTTGTGTGTTTATACTTGAAGAGTCGTCTATTATTTGAAGATTTTCTTGGTTATTTAATAACATTAGTAAATAAAAAATTAAACGCCATTGTTGTCATTTAAAGGCTAGAAAAAAAAACAACCTTCAAATCTCTCATTCTAGCTGGAGTAAGTTAGAAAGATACTATTTTATTTTTTAAAACAAATATTTCAATATCATTTAAAATTAATGTTTTTGTATGCACTATTTAAACTATTTTAATAAAACTTGTCATTTTTTTTAGATTTGAGTAGCTTAAAAAAATTCAATTTTTAATTATTATAAACAAATTCAGATTAATTTGGAATTCTTCTACTTACCATTCATGCTTTGAGTCAGTGTTACTTAACTCTTACAAGAACGAAGGTATCTTATGCTAGTATTTAAGAAAATCTTTAAGTCGTACATGAAAACCTTAACTTATATCATCTGTGTATTCTTTTCCTCATCTCTTCTAGGCTGGGCAATACATTCAACCAGTCAACCATCCAAAGATTGTGTGCCATGAAGACAATGAGAGACGCCAAGCTTTCCTTTATCCTAAACATCCCAATAATTTTAATTTACAGCTTCATGTTGTTTTTTGTTGGCTTCGGAGTTTACGTGTATTTTGCAACAATTCAGTGTGACCCATTCTCTGTACGTTGTTTATATTTATTTGTAAAAAAATTTATACGTTGTAACTTAAAGAATAAACTTATACAATGTGATGTTTATAAAGTTTACTGTTAATCTAAAGTAAATGCAACTTTATTTTACTCTGTAGCTTGAAGCAACAGATATAAAACTATAATAATATAAGTATTGTAAAAGTAAAAAACAAACTATTTTGAGTCTAATTGATAATTTTATTTTGCTTATTATAAGAGCGGCTTAATCAGCAACAGAAACCAAATTCTACCATTCTCTGTGATGCACGCTCTAAAAGACATGCCTGGGTTGGCTGGTCTTTTTATGGCCACTCTGTTCAGTGCTTCTCTCAGTACTATCTCATCAGGTTGGTTTAGTGCTTCATTCAGTACTATGTAATCTGATTGGTTCAGTGCTTCACTCAGTAGTATATCATCAGGTTTGTGTTATTAACATTTACTTTGCTAAAATACGAACAAAAAAACCGTTTCAGCAGCTTTTCTATGCAAAAAAAATTATAATTATAGTTTTATTTTACCAACACGACCTCAGGATTTTTTGTTCCAAAAATTATTCCATACATAGCAAATAATGTTGTGGTTGACTTTGATGTGGTATACTAAGTTTTATCTACGTTTATGCAAATTATGCGATGAGTACAAAAACGTACAACGTGTCGCAATAGGGTAAAATGTCAATAAAAAGTTATATATAAGAGTAAATATTACAGAGACAATAGACTTTTGTCAAAAAGATGATTGTAAAGTATCATATACACTGTTAATAATTTTTAGTTATTTTAAGTATGTATACATAACACAATGATAGATTTGAAACTACTTATATAAAAAAAAGATGGTTACATTATGTTCTTACGACCCGATAAAAACAACAAAATAGACTGGAAATGTTTTATTATATATTTGATTCATATTGTTTTTTTTTTAATATCCCAGGTATCAGTGCACTGGCTGCAAACACAGTAGAGGATATTTTGAAGAAGTATCTTGGAGGTGTTCAAGAGAGTAGAATAACACTGTTTACCAAGTTGCTTGTCTGTGTGTATGGCTTTACCATTGTTGGTCTTGCATACTTGGCGAATTCACTACAGGGCCCCGTAACGCAGATGGGGGCATCGATTTTTGGAGCCTGTGGGGGTCCTGTGTTTGGGGTGTTTATACTTGGGGCGTGCATCCCTTGGAGCAACAAGTACGGCGCCTTAGGTGGAGGTGGGCTGGCTCTTGTTTTCAACGTGTGGTTGGCCATTTCAGGACAGATGTATGGGAGGAAAAGCCGACCTTTGACCCCGCCTCCAGTAGATAACTGTTACATCAACGGCTCTATGTGGCTGTCCAATAACACTTTGAACCTCAGTAACGTGACAATTACACTTCAAAGAGTCAACACTATCGCAGTTGATAAAGACCCATACAGTTTCGGTTTCTTTCTACACGATATATCCTACATGTGGTATGGTTTTATTGGATGTTTTGTTGCCTTCATCTCTGGTGCTATAATCAGCATTTGCTTCAGGAACTTCGACCACTCCAAGACTGACCCAAGACTCGTTGTGCCAATTTTTCGTAAACCTTGGTCCGTGTTGAGCCACGAAGATAAAATACACTTGACATGTAATCCACATCAGTTGAATAGTAATGAACAAGAGAAGAGTGACATGAAACAAACGAGAACAACACCAATTCACAATTAACCAAGTCTTTTTGAACGGTTCGTTTCTAAAAACACTCAGCAACTATATGGTTTATATGTCTAAATGAGAATTCTAAATTCTGAATCAAGTTTGTACAAATTTAACCCACAATGTTAGCCAAATCGGAAGAATCTCTTTTTCGTGTTTGACAGTATTCTACCAACTTTATTTTGTATAATAACCAATTTTTTAGAATTAAAATTTGGCAAATTTAAGTTTATATTTTATTTCAACTCCTGTCCCTGTTCAGCTGTTGCACTGATTATTATCAGAGGATAATTCACGTAATGGGCCAAGGATTAAAAGTTGTTTGTACGCGAGGAAAAAATACACGTACTTGACACCATTACATAATTATCTGGAACATGGTTAGCGATTATGTTCAATTGGTGTGTTTTTAATTCAATCTCTTGAATATACATTTACATATTATAATGCAGCAGCAGAATAATATTGATTATTGCTGTTATTAATATATATATATATATATATATATATATATATATATATATATATATATATATATATATATATATGTATATATATATGCCTATATATATATATATATATATATATATATATATATATATATATATATATATATATGTATATATATATATATATATATATGTATATATATATATATATATATATATATATATATATATATATATATATATATATATATATATATATATGTATATATATATGCCTATATATATATATATATATATATATATATATATATATATATATATATATATATATATATATATATATATATGTGTGTGTGTGTGTGTGTTTGATTAATTGTTTTATGGAAAGCTAATTTATTAATGTTAACTCACTAACTTTTATAGTGTTGTGTAAAACACAAATTATTAGACTACTTCAGCCTATTCATTGCATAATTTATTTTGATTTAAGGAATAAATAAATTTAACGCAAAATAACCTAGTAACTGTCTACACATTTCTATTCAATTTTTTACGCTTTCTTTACATTTGACATTTGTGGGATTGCGATAAGGACGGGGTCGTGGGATAAATCGACATGTAACGTGGGATTGGGAATAAAAGAAACGGGATATGTAGAGGGACATTAGAAAAGAGTGATATACTAGATGGGGCATGAACAGTGGTTGTAGGGCCTGTATGGGATGGGAGATGTACATAGGTTTGATGAGGCTGGCGGCTTAAATGCCATGTTGATTCAAGAAGTTGCATTTCTCCTTTCAAGCAACGTCTTTGCCTGCCTGATATAGGTGCTTAAATAAATTGATATTTTACTTAGATGCTGTTTATCCGTAGCAGTCATTATTTTTCCCGTTTACAATGATTGACACAATATAAGCTATCTGCTCAAATTTCAGACAGAAGGTTTAAATGTAATCAATTGAAGATTTATTTCGCATGCCGGTTTTTAAATTAGTCTTGGGTCCAACATTAGAGTAGTGTTTCAGAAAAGTTGAACTCTTGACGATATAATTAATTTTAGTTTAATTGAAACTATTCATGCTACTAAAGGCGTGGTCTACGTTTAACCGCTTGCATGCTTTGTTACTAATGCACACAATTTTAAGCCTTTTATAACCAGTATTAAATACAAGATTTTTCATAGATGTTTGTGTGCCTTAAAATTATATTAAAATCACACATAATGAACTTTATTGCTTCTCCAACTCTTAATATATCAACATGAACATATGTATCTTCTAATATGCACTGAAGCAAGCTATTTGACATAAATCAGCAATTAAGAAACAAACGCTCTACACTAATTTTTTAATTTTTCAAAAATACTTTTTTTTTTAAAAAACGAACTTGACAGGAAATTGTGGAGAAGAGCAAACAACTCCAAGTTGTCCACAATGAACCTGCTCATTAATGCACACCTGCTATCTATTACACTCAAGTGACGTTGTCATCGAATAATTAACATATACATACTCTTCCGGAATACAACCCCAAATGTAACATATGTCCAAGAATTTAAATAAAATAAGCCGATCATTCGAATGGCTGTATTATTAGTTCTTTGTTTGCTAAATGCTGAAATATAACCATTAGGTAAATGTAGTTAGCACCCAAATTGGACCATTCGTTTAGACTAAACCTTACGTAAAAGGTAAGAAGAATTTATAGTCTAAACTTGTATGCAGGAAAGATATTATTAATATAATATCAAGTGATGGAAGCTAGTCCTTAAAACAAAGAGCTTGTGATAATCTAAAAATTGCTGGGTTTACACATCGTGTTTAAATTGTGATGATGAGGTAACAAAATCGTAAATAAATGATTAAGAAACGGAACTATATTCACATAATTAAGTTTAATAATTCCTACAGTATCAGGGTAATTGCATCTTGTGTCTATGATACTTTTTACGATTGAAGAATATTGAAGAAGGATGAATTACAAAGATTATTAAAATCATTTTCTATGAGGTTTCGCAAAAACATTATTCTTGAGAATTATAATTATGTAATTGATAACTTACGAGTTACTTTTCGTGTTGTATACTAATGTACGGAAAACTATTTTGCCAGAAAACCTAAAGATGGACGTAGAGACTAGCATTCAAGTAGCCGACTATGTTGTATGTGTTGTTGTCTTGTTGATTCCTATGGCCATCGGGATTTTGTTCGCTGTTAAAGACGCAAAGAAGGCGACCAGAGAGGAATATTTGTTTGGAGGAAGACGGATGTCCCTAGGACCTGTGGCGTTGTCACTTTTTGCTACATACAGTGTATGTTTGTTGTTGTGGTTCCGATACTAAAGATAAGTTTGACATGATTATATTATAAAAATTTTCACGGTCCAAAATTTGACTCTATACACCTAATAGTAAGCCTAACATAAACGTATACTGATATATAATATGACCTTCTAAACACCGGACTATAGCTAAACAAAGTAATTATTTGCTTATTCAAAACTAGCATTAGTTTTAAAATATCTAACATAAAACTGGTATAAGTTATAATATACTGAAATCTTAGAGACAAACGACTACATGGGAATATGTGCTAGTTAAAAAAGATGCATATTCTATGAAACAATTACAATTCAAAACATTATATTACAAATTCACAAATAGCATTTTCATGGAGAATATCTTAGAAATAACAATTATTAACAAAATTTTGTAACGGCGTCTATATGTATTGTCGTACACACACACACACACACACACACACACACACACACACACATATATATATATATATATATATATATATATATATATATTAAAATAGGCAATTTGCAAGGAGCAATTATTGATTGAAACAGCTGGAAATAACAGTTCATTTTCCCACCACAAAAACACATTGCATATAGCACACGCATAGACCCAGTGAGAAACGGACAAGCAACAATTGAAAAGTGTTATATTATAGTGCAGATACCCATAAGACTTTACATATTCTAAAAATATTTTCTAATAGACAATGCCTTTTGAAACTTTAAACGTGATATTTCGTTTCGAATCTCCCATTTCCAGTCGGCTGTTTCTTTAATCGGCACCACTGCAGACATGTTCACCTACGGCGCTATGGTAACCGTCTCGTATGTTGGATTTTCTCTCTGTTACGTCATCGGCCTATACACCATTGTGCCGCTGTTCTATTCGCTACAACTGACAAGTATCTATGAGTACTTCGAGTTGAGGTTCCACTCACGTACAGTGAGGATGTCAGCACTGACCGTTGGTATGTTACAGACCATCTGCTACATGGCTGTAGCTCTCTACAGTCCAGCTCTAGGGCTACAGGTCAGTGACCATTCTAAAATGTCTGAGTACGACGATTTGTTTAAAAACATTGTTGTAACTGTTTATTGTTTAAAGAATGTTTGGATTCTTTTTGGAGTTTCGCTCCTCTATTTTTGATGCTTTAAACAACAAAAAGACTTGAAAACAATAGCTACACACACAGCAAACCAAAACGTAAAAACTTGACACAAGTTCAGTTGTCTGATAAATATTTTTGATACCTCTTTCTTTCACATATTTTGTGTGAAAGAATAATGTGCTGCCAAGTTTCAAACAGATAAGAAACAGATAAAACTTAAAAAGCTATACTTAATGAAATATACACAAAATATAAGTTGAAGAAACTATTTTAAAAGGTTTAATGATTTATGTATTAAGCTTTGAATTTGCATCACACAAGTGTTTTCTTTTTATTTATTGCTTTTTAAATATATTTTTTGATTTGATGTTCTAATACAACTTGTCTTAAAAAACAGACAACAGCGAACATTCCATTATGGATGTCTATTGTTATTGTTGGCATCATCGGCACCGTGTACTCAGCTCTGGGTGGTATCAAGAGCGTTGTCTGGGCGGACGCTTTTCAATGTTTCGTCATGTTTGGTGGGGCTCTTCCTATCATTATCGTGGGTAAATATTTTTCGTGTTTAATACAATAATTTATGTAGCTCATTATCTGGTGTGTTGTACCGTTGTTGTACTTTGCTCTACTAGACTAATCCATCCTAACATGGCCTTACTTGTAATAATTTACAAACAGTTTGTGTCGCTATTTTAAATGCTAAACTTATTACAGAACAAAAACGCATTACGAAATTCAACATTGTTCATTTCTTTGGTATTTTAAACCAGGTATAAAAACAGCTGGTGGGTGGTCAGAGGCGTGGCCACTAGCTGTAAAAGGTGGAAGAGTTACTTTTGATTCCTTCGACATTGATCCAAGAGAAAGACATACCTGGTGGGGCACAGTTATTGGTTGCGCCTTCTTGTGGTATGTCCTTATTTGGAAGTAATATTTGAATGTTAAAGTCTGATAGTGGGATTGTTTTGTATTTTAAGTAGTAAAGTAAATTTTAAAAAAAAACTGCATTCAACGAAGAAGATTGTTGTTGCATTCACATTAAAACATTTTTGAACAGTTTGCTAGATTTATATTTATGTCATAATTTAAAATAATACATTATTGACTTCTTCTTCTTCTTCTTCGTTCTTAATTATTAGTGTTGAAGGGGATCGAGATTTATCTGCCAGTGGGTTTGAACTCGAGACTGTTCGAATGTATCAACCATGAGCTTTTTGCCGACTCGACCACGCCTCCAACACAATTAAGCGTTACGTGTCAACTGGTTATGCGCCATTGAGGCCATTGACTCCGATTTCAGCCTGCTTTTCTTTTTGGATTTGCTTCCATAGCCTTTGTCCAACCAAGAACAAACTACAAGGCAGCAGTTGTTTAATTTTGGAGTTGTCTCTCCTAGAAGAGTGGCTGTCCCCAGCTAACGAGCCTCATCTGCCCGAGGGTTCGAACTCGAGACTTTTCGGTTTAGCAACCATGAGCTTTACCGACTCGACCACGCCGACCCCCTCATTATTGACTGATACCTCAATGTTTTTATAAATCATTCTTGTATTGTTTATTCATATTTTCCCCAGGCTAGGAAATACATTTAACCAGTCAACCATCCAAAGATTGTGTGCCATGAAGACAATGAGAGACGCCAAGCTTTCTTTTATTCTAAACGTCCCAATTATTTTGTTTTTCGGCGTTTTATTGTATTTTGTTGGCTTTGGAGTTTACGTGTATTTCACGGCCATACGATGTGATCCTTTCTCAGTAGGTTAATAAGTTTGCCTCTCAAAATTTTTTTTTTTTTTTTTTTTTTTTTTTTTTTTTTTGATGTAGTTGAAAGTATTAGAGTACACTTTATTTATTTGTTACTCTTCGAAATTAATTTCTTGTAAGTCGGATTATACAAAGTCTCTACCTTACATTCAGTCCGTGTTACTTGTCTCGAAAATATTATTTTTAAGAAACATTTTCAATTACTTCGTCCTATAAATATTTTTGTAATTTAATTTTTTTAAAAGCATTAGAAGGCATCATTTATCTTGCTTTGATATTCTTAATCCAATAATTAATGTGTTTTTACTTTATTCTTAGAGCGGTTTAATCAGCAACAGAAACCAACTTCTGCCATTCTCTGTGATGCACGCTCTAAAAGACATGCCTGGGTTGGCTGGTCTTTTCATGGCCACACTATTCAGTGCTTCTCTAAGTACTATATCATCAGGTTGGTTCAGTGCTTCACTCAGTACTATATCATCAGGTTGGTTGAGTGCTTCACTCAGTACTATATCATCAGGTTGGTTCAGTGCTTCACTCAGTACTCTATCATCAGGTTGGTTGAGTGCTTCACTCAGTACTATATCATCAGGTTGGTTCAGTGCTTCACTCAGTGCTATATGGTCAGGTTGGTTCATGCTTCACTAAGTACAATATCATGAGGTTGATTTGGATATCACAATCCTCATGTTTTGTGAATCAGGTATTACATGTTAACGTTGTGTACTTGCTCATAAGCATGTGTTAGAAAGCGATTTTTTGACTCATAGGATAGATAACTATTTAGCTCGTTCAATTTTTCATTTCAAATAAGATCTTACAATTTTGCTCAATTTTAACTTTGGAAAATGATACATAAATAAATAAATAAAAATAAATATTTATATATATGCAGGTATATATATATATATATATATATATATATATATATATATATATATATATATATATATATATATATATATATATATATATATATATATAAAAAGCTACTTATAAAATATATTGCTTACGAAACAAATGTTTCTTCCAAAAGGCTAGAATTGTTTAAATTCAGTTTTAAAAAGTATGCCTTATAGTATTTAATCCACTAATATAACTCTGTTAATCGAGTACTTTTTATTATTTTATACCCTCAGGTATCAGCGCCTTAGCAGCAAACACAGTCGAAGATATTTTAAAGAATTTTCTAAGAGGTTTTAAGGAAAGCAGGATAACATTGTTTACCAAGCTGCTCGTCTGTGTGTATGGATTGTTAATAATAGGCCTGGCGTATTTAGCTAATTCCGTGAAAGGACCTGTGTCCCAAATGGTGGGATCAATTTTAGGGGCCTGTGGGGGTCCTATGTTTGGGGTGTTTATACTTGGGGCGTGCATCCCCTGGAGCAACAAGTACGGTGCCTTAGGTGGAGGTGGGCTGGCTCTTGTTTTCAACGTGTGGTTGGCCATTACAGGACAGATGTATGGGAGGAAAAGCCGACCTTTGATCCCACCACCTGCAGATAACTGTTACACAAACGGCTCTATGTGGCTGCCCAATAACACTTTTTACTTGAGTAACGTGACAGTTACACCTCAAGCAGTCAACACCATCACAGTTAATAAAGACCCATACAGTTTTGGCTTCTTTTTACACGATATTTCCTACACATGGTATGGTTTTATTGGATGCTTTGTTGCCTTCACCTCTGGTGCTCTCATTAGCTTTTGTTTTAGGAACTACGACCACACCAAGACTGACCCACGATTAATGGTGCCAATATTTCGTAAGCCTTTGTTCTCTCTGAAACCCAAACCCAAAATATACTTAAAAGACAACTCAGGTTTGATTAGCACTGATGAAAAAGAGATGTTTGATACTCACCCAACTCGAACAGAATTCTAAACGTCAGAACCGAATTCCTGTTGGTCATTCGGTGCTTTCAAATTTAGATGTATTCAGACGCCAATTTGAAATTAACTAAAAGAAACATTTGGTTTGAAATTTATCAGATTTAATCAGATATTTCTACGTTTGTCATTTTTTCCGGCTTCTATCTTCCGATCGGCCTATTGTGTTGTAGATGTTTGGTGGGGTTCGGAAGTATATTTAGGATGACAAGGCATTAGAACGGAAGGAGAGATGTACTGGTGTATATATATATATATATATATATATATATATATATATATATATATATATATATATATATATATATATATATATGTGTGTGTGTGTGTGTGTGTGTGTATGTGTGTTTGTGGGAGTGCTTAGAATTTGAGTGGTGGTGTATTGCTACATCCCCCCCCCCCTCCAGAAGCTACGAAAATTCTGTATCCCCTCTATAAGCTCTGGAGGGGATACAAATACGTTGTGTATATTTTGCACTTTTTCTCCTTATCAAAAATTTTAAAAGAATATATTTCAGTCAATCATATTCCTATTTTAAAATAAAAGCATATTGAAAACCTAGAGTTGTCTGTCGTTTTTCGAATCAACGTTCTCTATTGTTGTGTTAACTTCTGCACGTTATCCAACCAACAATCGAAACAATAATACACACGTGTAAACAATGCAAAAACTAATTTGAGAAATGTTTTTCACAGATCTGTTCGATCTTTAAATATTTTAACATTTGTTTAAAGAGCAATGTCTTTTGACAGATCATATTTAATATATTATGCAATAAATGTAACAGGATGCCCAGCTAGTCTAGTCCAATGTGTACACCGGAACACTAACCCCCCTCCCTGTCCCTAATGATCGCTTTCCTCTTATGATCTCAATGAAATAAACTGTTAGACTTAATTAAAAGAATAGCCACATAGGATTGGGTAATAAATCAGCACTGATATTTTATTCAAGTGAAAACATGTTTGGGTAATTTACGGCAGAAATATAATCTCTCCGCAGTAACAAAGCATTTATAGGTACATCGTCTGTTGATTACATGCAGTATATATCTTTTTTGGGTTGTACTGAAAGCTGAGTAACACTTAAAAAAGTGGGATTATGTACATGATTCTCCTCTAGTCGATAATTAGGAAACACAATAAAATAAAAATAGATTTACTGGTGATTAAAGGTGTAATACGTTTAATATCTGGTTGATTGATGTGCCCTTCAACATAGATGATGCTCCTTTACAGCTCAGGTGTTAATGTTTTCACGTGGTACAATGTACATCGTGAAAATGTGTTTCTGAAAATTTCACTGTTTATTTTATCAGTTTGTAAACTCGTTCCTTAAAATTTTTTTTAGACTAATTATATAAAATTACATTACATAAAGGCAAATTCTATAAAACTGTCTTGACATTTCACGGCGGTCTGAATATCTTTAAATACCCAACCATTTTATTTGATTATAGCACAGTTTTCTTTCTTTTTAGGTTCATTATTTTATATCAAACAGATTATTTCAAAATTCTTCATTAACATATGGTAATCCTGCGGTAGTAAAACCCTTTGATGGGTACATTTGAAACACATTTTATTGAAATTACCCACTTATTTATATGTAAATATTTTTGCGTCTACTTTTGATAAAAGCGATAATAATCTCCCCTAAGCCCTCTCGTATTTTCTAACATGACAATAAGGGTTACGATATCACTAGAAGAGTATTGCAATCGGTCAATAGAAATATACGAGTTTGTGACAAAACTCCTCGTTTTTCGATAAAACTCAAAGCGCCGAAAAGTTCTAAGAATATTATTATGTTAAATTAAAAAATAAGATATGAAATTATTAAGCGTTTATAGTTTTTTGATAAAACAGAAATACTGTAAAACATAACTTCCGCCAATCACTCAAAATTTGACAGAAACCAGTGAATATAATATGTATCCACATATGAAATGTCGTCCAATTAACTGAAACCGTACTCAAGTTATCGGCATTTTAGAAAACGGAAATAGAACAAATAGCCACTGCAGGATAATGGAAGATTACTCATTGAATAAAAAATTTTCCAAGTAGATACCTTGATTACCGTTTCAGTAAGGTAGACGAAATTGCAAATATAAGATCTACATGGATTATTTTAATAAATCGGAAGTGATCTTCCCAAGCTTTTTTTATACTCTTATGTAACAGTGGGGCACTTTTAGGATTTGAGAAATGTTTATTCTAATTAATTTTGTAAATGCTTATATTTTTAAACGGAACAGAATCGCCAGAAAAATAAATTGCTAAATTTTCCATTTAAGTGTTAGATTGTAGGCGCGTTTAAAAAAAAAATTGAACGATTTCCGGTAAACGAAAGTGGTTTTTACTCCAGTTCATTCTGCGTGATGTTGTTCTTTTAAGCTACCGACTTATTTTGATAATTGTAATCGATAATTAACTTAAATTTAAACGGCTGTAAACATTTTATTGTTTAAGTTTTGATTTAATAATAACAAATTTGAATAACACAGACGAGAGTGTTATTTACTGGACGTTTGGTACCTATTTAGATACGGGCGTCTAATTTAGCATGCAGGTTCTGTCATCGCTACTTAAAATTCGTCATATGCATGTCTAGACACGATTATAGCTAGTAGCATTATATTTGAGACATCATTGCACCCAGTAAAGACAAAGCTTGACTTAAATCAACATCATTTAATGTTCCATGGTTTAATAACATTACAAGATAACCTATTTTACAGCAAAGTTTAATGTTGAATGTTTTCCATTCTGAACTTACAAACTATATTTAAATACTTTTGGTAAGAAGTTTTTAAATTTATTTTGCAAATAATATAGTACAATACTAATTTTTATTTTATTATAACAAACGAATGGTTAAAATAAAGCAAATTTACTCTCTACAATTATAAGAGAGTTGACAACGAAATAACGAGGAACAGCCTAAAGATGGACGTAGAGACCAGCATCCAAGTGGCCGACTATGTTGTATGTGTTGTTGTCTTGTTGATTCCTATGGCCATCGGGATTTTGTTCGCTGTTAAAGACGCGAAAAAGGCGACCAGAGAGGAATATTTGTTTGGAGGAAGACGGATGTCTGTGGTGCCGGTGGCTTTGTCACTTTTCGTCACGTTCATTGTAAGTTCTTCTTCGATATTCTAATTGTAAATTGAGACTTGGTTCATTATTTATAAATCCAAGACCTTTTCTTTTTCACAAAATGAATAGTGCTCATACTTACTTTTGGCAACAATTAAACTTACTTTGATCCAAGCCTTAAAATCACATAGACGTATGTGTTACATCAAAATATTTTTGATTTGGTTTTCATGTTGCTCACATAAAAATACTAAACTTTTAAAATAATACAGATCAGAATATAACACACAAACATTGATATTTAAGACATCAGAACAATTTGACTTGTCTTAATCTTCTTTACTATTTGTGGAGCATAAAGCTTCAAACACGGCTTATAATTTTTGCAACATTCTGAGAAATCCCTGCTGTTTTCAGTTCTTGAAGAAGACTCAGTCAGCATACTTTGCTCACCTAATAATATCAAAAGGTCAACATTCAATCCATAGCATACTTTTAAATAAAAGGTATACCAAAATACCACCAACTAATTATACATACTTATATTTTTGTATATAATCACAAACAGTATGTTATTTTGTTATTTTGCATTCAATGCAAATAACTAAGCACTTAAATTTTGAGGAATACAAAACAGTAACAACTTTTATAACTACGGTCTAGGATTGTTCTTTCTTTACACAGACAGCTTTTTTCATGGATTGCTCGTTGAAACAAAAATTCAACCATTTGATAGTAACGATTACTCGACAATCGAACGAATGAATATTAATATTTATAAGTTGTTGTTAATAGATATCTCAAGAAATCATACATCTTTTATTCCTCTTATATTATGAAACAAATTCCAGTCTGCCATTGGATTGATGGGAAATCCCGCTGATATTTACAGTTATAGCGTAATGGTTATCACCCTATATGGAGGCTACTCGATCAGCTATGTTATTAGTCTGTTCACCATTGTGCCGCTGTTCTATTCCCTACAACTGACAAGTATCTATGAGTACTTCGAGTTGAGGTTCCACTCACGTGCAGTGAGGATATCAGCACTGACCGTTGGTATGTTACAGACCATCTGCTACATGGCTGTAGCTCTCTACAGTCCAGCTCTAGGGCTACAGGTCAGTTTTATTTTAATCTTAAAAATTTATTATTTATTAATTATCTAGCAATATTAAATTAAAAAAAAGTCAAGTAGTTAAATTCATATATATTTAGATTTAAGAGAACAGGATCTTATTTACTGAAAGGATTAATTTTAGCCCGAATTGTTAAGAAATGTCTACTTTGACATATTGCGTTAACATAATTTAAAAAAAAAAATCAAAACCTGTACTGATTGTGAGAGGTATTATTGCTAATTATTATCTAACCACTGCATTCTCTACCTGTTTTCTATTTTCTAGACAACAGCGAAGATCCCATTATGGATGTCTATTGTTATTGTTGGCATCATCGGCACCGTGTACTCAGCTCTGGGTGGTATCAAGAGCGTTGTCTGGGCGGACGCTTTTCAATGTTTCGTCATGTTTGGTGGGGCTCTTCCTGTTATTATTGTAGGTCTTTTTACATAAAAGACATCAAGTCTTATCTTGTGGAAGAAGATTCAAAGCATAGTGCTTTATACATTTCAGATACCGGTAACCAAATATAAACATTAATGTTGTTAAATCCACTCAAGGGGTACAAACTGCAGGAGGATGGTCAGAGGCGTGGCCACTAGCTTTGAAGGGTGGAAGAGTTTCCTTTGACGTTTTTGACGTTGATCCAAGAGTAAGACACACCTGGTGGGGTACAACTATTGGGGCTACTTTCTTATGGTAAGGTTTTTGTTTGTAAAAGAAGTGCATGCATACATTATATATATAAATATAAATATAAATATATATATATATATATATATATATATATATATATATATAAATATATATATATATATATCATATAATGATTGCTCATAATAAAATACAGAAGACGCTGATCTGTTAAAAGTTCATATTAATTTTCAGGCATATGTTATTTATAGTGTACAAAAGCTGAATCTTTATACAAAATTGCAATAATTTATTTAGAACGGTTGTTATAAATTATATTACAAGAAGCTGTTTTTTTCATATAATAATAAACAAACACCATATAAACGTCTTGGGGTGGGTGTTTGAGTTATGAGTTTTTCTTCTCAATTTCTCTTTAATTTGCCTTATCACACGTCAAACGTATGCATCTTTTAGGCTTGGTACTACATTCAACCAATCAACCATCCAAAGATTGTGTGCCATGAAGACAATGAGAGACGCTAAGATTTCCTATATATTAAACATCCCAATTATGTTGGCTTATGGTGTTCTGATGTTTTTTGTTGGATTCGCAATTTACGTCTATTTTGCATTCCTACGCTGTGATCCTTATGAAGTTTGTTTACATTAAGTAAATTAATTTAGCAAAAAAAAAAAAAGTAAATTCATTTAAATATTTTATTAACTCCTTTAAAGATAACTTTCACGTTATTAACCCCCAAATAAATTTAGAATACGTTTTGTTATTTTCAATATAGACACAATGTAATAGCAGATTCATTTTATTTTGTGTGTGGATTTCATTGAAAATATTATCTTTAAACGATTTCTTTCAGGGCGGTCTAATTACCAACAGAAACCAACTGAGTCCATTTTTCGTCATGCAAGCTTTTCAAGACATGCCTGGGTTTGCCGGTCTTTTCATGGGGACGATGTTTAGTGGGTCTCTCAGTACTATATCATCAGGTTTGTTCTTAGTATGTATATTTTGAAATATTTACGTTTTAGGACGAAAAAATTTATTTCGGTTCTTGTTGAAATGTATCTGAAATAAAAATAAGAGCAACTAAATTCTCAGTCTGTTGAAATTTACGTAAAAGCTATTAAACGTATTTGTAAACTGCTATGACTTATATTTGACAGCAAATGCTTTTATCATTTTGCTCTTATTTTAAAACATACACCTAAAAAATCTTTGTCGAATTCGTGCTGCTTAGAAAGGGTGGCAGGGTAGTTGTGCACTCGATTGCTAAACGTCTTGGCGGCAGTGTACGAGATCTCGCCATTGCAATCCGTGACGTTAGAGCACTTAAGTAACCCCCCCCCCCCCTTCTTTACAAACACTGATGTGTGGAGTTTTCTCTGCTCCCTCCATAATCTTGCCTTTGCTTTGTTCATAATGTAATTTATGGTTTTTACCTACATAGAACGGCGAAGAATTAAAAACCGAATGGAGATCTTCGGTCAGGTCGGCTTAGCTCATAATAGTTAAACATAAAAGTCCTGGAACTCCCGGGCAGATGAGGATCAATAGCAGGGGAAAGCTACGCATCTAGGAGAGACAACTCCTAAATCAAACAACTGCTGTCTTGTAGTTTGTTGTTGGTTTATTCTTGTATTTAATTATGTTTAATCAAATATTTTAAAACACTAGAATTAATAACGAAGAATAAGAAGAAAAAGCCGATTATCCATTTCATAATCTAGCACTCAATTGCAATTGTTCTCTGCCCACACATAGCGAAAATGCTTGCTAGACGCATTGCATTTAATGTAAATTGATGTAGCAACGTTGACATTATGTACTTACTAAAGTCAAACGATTATCTTTATTGTGTACTTAATGATATCCACCTCATTACATTTTTTGCATCATTTCTGCAGGAATCAGTGCTTTGGCGGCCAACACAGTTGAAGATATTCTAACGAAATGTCTAAGTGGTTTTAAAGAAAGCAGTATCACGCAACTAACACAAGTAATTGTCTGCTTCTATGGACTTGTCATTGTTGGACTTGCTTATGTAGCCGATTCCTTAGATGGGCCAGTCACACAGATGAGTGCATCAGTTTTTGGAGCCTGTGGGGGCCCTGTGTTTGGGGTGTTTATACTTGGGGCGTGCATCCCCTGGAGCAACAAGTACGGCGCCTTAGGTGGAGGTGGGCTGGCTCTTGTTTTCAACGTGTGGTTGGCCATTTCAGGACAGATGTATGGGAGGAAAACTAGACCACTACAACCCCCATCTATAGAGAATTGTTACCCGAACAGCTCAATGTTGCTAATGAGAAACTATTACCACTCTGTTAACCTGACTTCTACAACACCAGCTACTGAACGTATCCCAAATGACAAAGACCCATACAGTTATGGTTTCTTCTTGTACGATATACCCTACGTCTGGTATGGTTTTATTGGATGTTTTGTGGCTTTCATCTCTGGTGCTCTCATTAGCTTTTATTTTAAGAAGTACGACCACACCAAGACTGACCCACGGCTAATTATACCAATAATTCGCAAGGCGTGGTCTTTGCCTGAGCCAGAAGCTAAACAAGAGGAAAGCTGAGCAACGATGAAATGTCGACTCGAAATTTTAAATTGCTCTGACAATGTAAAATTCGGCACCCCGTCAAATGAGCGCACGACAAAAGAGCGCCGACATAAGAGCGCAGACAAAAGAGCGCCGACAAAAGAGCGCAGACAAAAGAGCGCAGACAAAAGAGCGCCGACAAAAAAGCGCAGACAAAAGAGCGCAGACAAAAGAGCGCAGACATAAGAGCGCAGACAAAAGAGCGCCGACATAAGAGCGCCGACAAAAGAGCGCAGTCAATTATAAAAACACATGTTGTAAGCTAAACAAATATGGCATTAAACAATCGGCGGTACGATAAAACGACATGTGTTTATTTATATATTGTGGTTGATGTGGTATAAACGCAGTTTGAAAATATTTCTAGCCCAATTAACATGGAGAAGATCGAATCACAGAAAGGGAAGGTAATTATTTTGGTCGAAGGCTACAGATTTCGAAAGGACAGAGCAAATGCTGATGGAAGTACGACATGGAGATGCTGCAAGAAAGATGGCTGCCGAGGACGGATGAAAATGATGAACGATGTTGTTCTGTCATCATCGGAACACAATCACGCTCCTGATCCGGCTAAAAACGAAGCAGCGAAAGTCGTTTCGGCTATACGAAAACGGGCAGTGGAAGGGGTGGAAAACCCAAGGCAGATTATACAATTAACATTTAGTAGAAGCTAGTCCTGCAGAAATTATGCCACTGGTAGATTATTGCGAGGATAGTTACATAGGGAGGCGAAGGAGAAACCGTCGAGGTGACCCACGCTTCGCTCTTGCTATTTGGAATGTCCATAATCGTGTCTCTGAAAATCTACCACGTTCGAACAACTCAGTCGAGGCATGGCATCGCGCATTCCAACGAACGGTAGATTGAAATCATCTTTCCGTTTTTAAATTGATCAACCAGTTTCGTCTGGAACAAGATCACATCGAAATCGAACTGGAACGTTATCTGGCTGGAGTTAATCAACCAGAAGCTTCAAAGAACAAATATGTTCAGCTGAACCGAAGATTGCAGACAATTGCTTCAACCTATGCTAATGATTCAATGATGGACTACCTACGGGGTATAGCCCACAACTTAGCATTATAAATGCAACTATACAGAAAATGTTTATTAATCTGAACTTATTTTCATTTTGTAACATTTCATTTCAGTTTATATTCTCAATTTAGGCCTAACTTTTAAAATCTTTGTATGTGTTACTACGTTGCGTTTTGAATAATTCGACTTCATGTTGATTATATCAGTTTTTTAGTTAAAGAAACTGAACAATTAGTTTTTTAATGAAACAATAAAGAGTTAGCTTCAAACGATGACGTCTGATCTGAGTTAATTTTCTTGTTCCTATTTATTAAATATGGTTTTTCGATTTTTAGTTTGCGCTCTTATGTCGGCGCTCTTTTGTCGGCAAATTGATGCGCTCTTATGTCGGCGCTCTTATGTCGGCGCTCTTATGTCGGCGCTCTTTTGTCTGCGCTCTTATGTCGGCGCTCTTTTGTCGTGCGCTCTTTTGACGGGTCACCGTAAAATTCCGTTAAGTGATGGAAACCGTATTAAAAACTGGCAAAATAAAACTATTTCAAAAGTTTAAAATTTGGACTTCAATCGAAAGTTTAAGATGTAGTATAAATTGACTAGCTATTTTTAAAATGGATAAAATTATACATTGTTGTTTTAAGAATTTTATAAATAGTTTGGTCTTAGTTGTATTTTTTAAGACCCCGAACACTTTAATAAATATAATGAAAACATAGTTACTCTTGCAAAAATGTAATTTGCTAAAAGAAAATGCTTTTGGTATTACGTTCCATTCACAATGCAATGTTGATAATTTAATAGGATATTATTTTCTTCATTTTGTGTCAAATTATATCAATTGGGTTCAACCAATTCGTTATTTTTAGCGCAATTTCCATACGAACAATTGCGATTATTAACTCGTCATTTCTGGATGTATGAATGAATGGATGTGTGTCCGCAGCTTTAAGTCGTATCTCCTCCTCAACGAAGCAATATCGAGGACTAGTTCCAAAGCAAATATGTTAAGCAAGTTTCGAGGATGATTGTGGGCCAAAACAATTCCTGGAATTCCTTCCTGGATTTCCCGGAAAAGCCAAAAAACCTCGAAAAAAAATGCAGTTTTTGGCCCATTTCTCGGCAACTAGACCACTTAGCGACTTGAAACATTTACCAATCGATTTCTGCCATAATTTTGAACAATATTACCGAAGAAAGTTTTCAAAAATATCCTTTCGTTCCGTCACAAAAAATTAATTACTACTTTTTTAAACGGAGCATCGTGTAGGCCTAGGATGATATTTTTTTTAAACTGAGCATCGTGTAGGCCTACTCGTTAAAATAAAAAAAAAAACATAAGGAAATTGCGCTTAAATTGTCACTAGACTTTTTATTAACTTGTTTTTTGTTTTAACTTCAGTTATCAAATTAAACAACATTGAGGCTAATTATATTAAATTCCTATACTATTTTCCCGATTTATTAAAAAATTCAGATGTCACCTACATGTCCAAGAAACCAATCACACGTTACACATTGTAATGAAGAAACATAAGTATGTCGAAACATTTATAAACCAAAGTTTATTCACATAAACACACACAGACTTACACAGACACACAGAGACACACACAGACACACACAGACACACATTATCCTACTAACAGTCGAAACAATAATACATACGTGTAAACAATACATAAACTAATTTGAGAAATGTTTTTCACAGAACTGTTCGAGATAGTTGAATGTTTTAACATTTGCTTCAAGAGCTCATGTCTTTTGCCATACCACATTTTAATATATCTAGCAATAAATGTATCAGGATGCCCAGCTAGTCTAGTCCAATATGTAAACCGGAACACTATTTCCATCCCACATGAACATTTTCCTCTTCTGATCTCACTGAAATAAAATGTTAAACTTAATTTAAAGAAAATAGTCACATAACATAAGCAATAACTCAGCACTGATATTTTATTCCAGTGAAAGCATGTTTGGGTAATTTATAGAAGAACTTTAATCTCTCCACAATAACAAAGCACTTATTAGGACATAGTCTGTTGATTATAGATATATCGTCATTGGGTTGTACAGAAAGCGAATAGCACTGAATTTGAATAGTGGGCTTGTGTTCGTGATTCTCCTCTAGGCAATTATTAGGAAACCCATTAAATAAAATAGGTTTACCACTGTGTTTTTAAATGAAAATAATATACTTAGTTATTGTCAGACTGATTAGAAAAACTGTATCCCATTTATCTAGCATCGGTTTTTTGAGGTGATATGTATCTATTTTCAGGTTTATTTATATTCACTCTAACAAAGATGTTCATTCATACCACAGGCAGTGTTTCTTCCAGACATTTTTCTCCGGGGGGGGGGGGGGGGGGACTTGAAATTTGGGGGGGGGGGGGGTAGAATTTTTTCGAGGGGGCGGACACTGTTAAAAGTATATATTTTCTATATAAATTTTATTTCGTTCGGGGGGGGGGGGGCGGTAGACTTTCTTCGGGGGGAGGGGGGGGGGGGGCGAAGTTAAAGTCTCGCAGGTACCATTTGTATTTATCTAAGGTGAATGACACCCACGTGAACGTGACATACAGGTTTGGTATTTATTTAGATACGGGCGTTTACATAATTTAGCATCCAGGATCTGTCACTTAAAATTTAAAATTCGTGATATCCATGTCTAGACACGATTATAGTTAATAGCATTATATTTGAGACATCATGACATCCAATAAAGACAAGCTTGACTTAAATCAGCATTATTTAATGTTCCATGGTTTAATAACATTACAAGATAACCTATTTTACTGCAAAGTTTAATTAAGTCTGAATTTTTTACATTCTGAACTTTAAAAAATATTTCCTGAAATACTTTTATAAAGAAATTTCTTTGATTTTTTTTTGCAAATAATAGAGTACAATACTACTTTTTATTTTATTATTAAAACTAACGCTTGGTTAAAATAAAGCAAATTTACTCTCTACAATTATAAGAGAGTTGACAATGAAATAACGAGGAACAGCCTAAAGATGGACGTAGAGACCAGCATTCAAGTAGCCGACTATGTTGTATGTGTTGTTGTCTTGTTGATTCCTATGGCCATCGGGATTTTGTTCGCTGTTAAAGACGCGAAGAAGGCGACCAGAGAGGAATATTTGTTTGGAGGAAGACGGATGTCTGTGGTACCTATCGCTTTGTCCCTCTTTGCTTCATACATGGTAAGTGCAGTCTTCAATAGGTTTTGTGAGCTGTTCTTTCTACTTATTTAACTTTGATTTAGATAGTACTATAATTAATACACAGCAAAAAAAAAGTCTAATTTTTGAAACATATATGCAACTACTCAAAATAGTACGAATGATTGTAAAGTAGAAATAAATATTTTTAAAATCATATAAAAAAAAAAACAATGAAAATTTATTTAATTTTGATTTTTTTTTTTTTGCAGTCAGCCATCTCTTTAATTGGCACCACTGCAGACATGTACACATACGGAGCCATGATAACGCTCTTGTATGTTGGGTTTTCTGTTAGCTACATCATCGGCCTGTTCACCATTGTGCCTTTGTTCTATTCCCTACAACTGACAAGTATCTATGAGTACTTCATGTTGAGGTTCCACTCACGTGCAGTGAGGATGTCAGCATTGGCCGTTGGTATGGTGCAGAATATCTGCTACATGGCTGTAGCTCTATACACTCCAGCTCTAGGGTTACAGGTCAGTTATGATTGTAAATGAAAATCGGGTTTCGGTAGGCAACCTGTTTTAAATCGGGATCGAATTTATAAATTATTTATAAATTTTAGTAATTTCTGTTTGACAGGAAGAAGTAATTTTCGCTATTTCCGATTTCTCAAAAAAAAAAAAAAAAAAAAAAACCGCATGTGAATTTGTAAAGTACTAATAATATTCCGAACTATTATGCACATTTTATTTGGCGTTCACTTGGTGTGCAATTCTTTTTTCTACAAGATTGTATTCTATTTTAAAAAGTTTATTTAAAATGGATTAAAATCCATGTCTATATCCCGAGTTTCAGTACCTGTTTTTTAATATAAGAATATTCGAGAAAGTTTAGGGGAGATCACTCCCGGTTTATTTAAATAGAAAAAGAGTGAAGTATTAATTTCGGTTATGGGGAATAACACAAAGTTTAAAAGGAACCAAAGAATAAGATCATATACCATAATATGAAATTTCGTTTAGTTAGCTGAAGCAGTACTCAAGTTATCGGTATTTTAGAATCTAGAATAAAGTTAAGAACAACCTCCGGATATTGGGGTGCACACAAGTATAAGATCTTTAGATAGCCTATGTATGAAATTTCGTCTAACTAACTGAAATAATATTAATGTTATATTGTTCCCACATAAATAGCCATACTTATAATTTCCGATTAACGGAAATCGATCAAAAGAAGATGGAAACCTAAACATACAGTGTAATGCTTGTATGTAAAATTCCGTCAACCTACATTTAAATGGCTTTTGAGATCCGGCAAGCAGAGTATAAACAGCTTTCAGTTAGCGAAAATATCTCCAAATGAAAAACTAATATCTTGATAAACCTAGAAATTGAGTTTTTAGCAAGATAAGTCGTCTAGGTCGCATACGATAAAGAAAGGAGGTGTAAAGAAAACTTTCGAAATTTCATTCGATCGATTTTTGTGCACAATTAAATTTCTTCCTTTATACGCAGAGAATTGAACCAATTTCTGGTAAAGTACAGTATTTAAAATGTAACCATTTAAACCGTTAGACAACAGCGAACATCCCATTGTGGATGTCTATTGTTATTGTTGGCATCATCGGCACCGTGTACTCAGCTCTGGGTGGTATCAAGAGCGTTGTCTGGGCGGACGCTTTTCGCTGTTTCGTCATGTTTGGTGGGGCTCTTCCTATTATTATCGTAGGTGTGTTTATTTAGTTATAGTATGTGTGTTTTTACCTTGTGCGTTTAATTACTAAATATGTGTTCTACTTTATCTTATTGATTTACCTAAAAGATCTATCACTTTTACTTTAATTTTGAAAGTTTTTTGAGTCATATGTTTGTGGCTAGAAGAGTCAAAAGATTCTTATAAATTCGAGCTCCAAAAATAATTCGGATACAATGTTGATTCTTAAATCTTTATTTCTAAAAGGTATAAAAACAGCAGGAGGGTGGACAGAGGCGTGGCCACTAGCTGTGAAAGGTGGAAGAGTTTCTTTTGACGTGTATGACTTTGATCCAAGAAAGCGCCATACATGGTGGGGAACAGTCGTCGGCGGCGCCTTCTTGTGGTAGGTTAGTTGTATGTGAATTGATAGCATCAAATTTTATATCAATTAAATACCATGATAATATACTCATATTTTTAAAAAATGAAAAAAAAAATTATGGTTAGAGGATTCTATTTCTATTATGAAACTATATTAATTATATAATTTCCGCTGAATCCTACTTAAAATGCATCATGCATTGTTTTCAAATATCTCACCCAACAGGCTAGGCAATACATTCAGCCAGTCAACCATCCAAAGATTGTGTGCCATGAAGACAATGAGAGAAGCAAGGATTTCCTTTATCCTAAACATCCCAATTATGTTATTTTACGGCTTTATATTGTTTTTTGTTGGCTTTGGAGTTTACGTGTATTTCGTGTCCATCCGATGTGACCCATTCTCTGTACGTTGCCTTTATATTTTGTTTGAATATTATGATGAACATGGTTACAATTTTTACCCCAACGTTCCTTGACTATTCTACCCACAAATAGGTTGATGCAAGTTTTATATTTATTTAGCTATTTGTAATTTTAAAACCTGACATGTTTATTTTTTATTAGAGCGGTCTAATCACTAACAGAAACCAAATTCTGCCATTCTCTGTGATGCACGCTCTAAAAGACATGCCTGGGTTGGCTGGTCTTTTTATGGCCAAACTATTCAGTGCTTCACTCAGTACTATCTCATCAGGTAAGTTGTAATATTCTCTTAGTAAATCCTTTTCAGTGCTTTCTTATTTACTTGGTATTAAATTATTTCACAATTTGGAATAATTGCTTGTCTAAAATCAAGTTCTTTGATTTTTACAAATTAACTTACACTTCTCCTACATTAGTAGGCTAATAGTGGGACGGCGTGATCGAGTCGGTAAAGAAACAAACAGTTTTCATTACTAGATTAGAACCGAAAGAAACAAATGTTCAAGAAATATCGCGAGTACTTATTATATTAAACACAAACAACTTCTTACTGGTATAAGTGTTTCAGTCATTTAAAGTGTTACGTCAAAATTATTGCCACATTGCTAATATTTATTTGCTGTTGTACAGTATCCACAAGCTACATGCTGTTTTAGTTTGCCTATTAGTGCTTTTTTTTAGAAATGACAATTCATTGAGATTTCTTTGTAATTAATTAACATTTTTGCGACTGTTAAGTGGGTGTAAAAATTTAATCGTGTACTAACCTGATTGTGTATTTGAATCTGCATTTGATGCATGTTATTATTTTATAACAACAGGTATGAATGCTTTAGCAGCCATCACAGTTGAAGATGTTTTAAAGAATTTTCTTGGAGGATTTCAGGAGAGCAGGATCACGCTGTTTACCAAGTTGCTTGTCTGTGTGTATGGTTTAATAATAATAGGACTGGCGTACTTAGCTAATTCACTACAAGGACCTGTGACACAGTTGGGGGCATCGATTTTTGGGGCCTGTGGGGGTCCTATGTTTGGGGTGTTTATACTTGGGGCGTGCATCCCCTGGAGCAACAAGTACGGCGCCTTAGGTGGAGGTGGGCTGGCTCTTGTTTTCAACGTGTGGTTGGCCATTTCAGGACAGATGTACGGGAGAAAAAGTCGACCTTTGACCCCACCACCTGTAGATAACTGTTACACAAACGGCTCTATGTGGCTGCCCGATAACACGCTTTACTTTAGTAAGGAGAAAATTACACCCCAAACTGTAAACACTACCACAGCTGTTAACGACCCATACATTTTTGGCTTCTTTCTACACGATATTTCCTATATGTGGTATGGATTAATTGGATGTTTCGTGGCATTTATGTCTGGTGCTATCATCAGCGTTTGCTCCAGGAACTACAACCACTCAAAACCTGATGCTTACCTTTTTGTGCCAACATTTCAACATTGTTGGCTATTGGGGAAATGGAGACACAAAATCTACTTGAAAGACAATTCAGTGTTGGTTAACAGTGGAGAACCATCGATGATAGACATCAAACCAATAGAGACAAATCTAATTTAATAAACAACAATTTCTGTGAATGTAATGTATATTCTCAGGTTTGACCCACAACGTTGTTCAAATTATAAGAATTGGCAACCAGTAATGCAGTTTGAAAATTCTTCTGGATTTATTATTATTTATTAAAACCTTAACATTCATCATTTTATTTCTGCTTTTCCCTGTGCTCGCAATGCACTCGGGACCTAGGGATATTGCATTTTATTAAAATATGTGTTTGTATGGTTTTACATTATGATTTATTTACGGTTAGGAGGAGCTGAGGAGTGTGTGTGTGTGTGTATGAGAGAGAGAGAGAGGTGGCGGGGGCTCAATATTACAACCACTTCACCCCGGGTCATCAAAGTCTTTCTAATACTGAATGGAATATAACCAAACAACTAGAGGATTTTGTCTGTGGAGGGGGGGGGGGGAGGTGAATGGTGGGGCGTTGAAGCCATTTAGGGGCCCAAGATCAGACCAAAAACAACAAGATAATATTTTTTTTGCACCTTTAAAAAAAGTCCAAATCAACACACTAAATTATCGTTTGATTTTTCCAATGTACAGGAGCGTACTGGCAATTTATGTTTAATACCCTGTTCGGTTTATTTTCAGTTATTTCGTGCCAAAGAGAAACAACTGAATTAATTAATATCAGTCAGAATATAAATCAGAATTGCGGTTCTTGTTGATGTGCAATGTTTAAATAGTTTTGAAGCAATAATTATATCTTGCTCTACTAAAGTTGGAGTATATATTTTTATCCCAGTGTCCGATAATGCCATATTAATGGAATATTCTTCAAAAGTTTGTACTAAATAATGGTAGTAAATCAGTAACTTCTAATATATAAAGCTCAAATGGACTCTGTGGCTCTGTATGCATGTAACATGTTTGTGGAATACATAAAAATAGTAAAAAAAAAATACGACTTGATCACTCTACTGTAATATTTTTGTAGTGTTTATTTTTGTTCTAAAATCTAAATTGCAAAATTGGTAGTTTAAAAAAAAATGTTTTCATTTTCCAATGTTATAATTTTAATTGACGTAATGTGCAAATAACAAAATCAAATACAATGTATCCCATTTCGAAAAGTTCTAATTGTGTGAAAAAAGTGTAAAGATTACTTGCCTTGGTACCAATTACGTTCCTTGATAGATGACAAAAAAAAGACATTACATGGGAAAAAAAAACATAATTTTTATTAGTTTGTTTTGATGTTGTAAAAATGTATAATTAGCATGGATAAGTGCAATGTGGAAGGTAAAACACAGGAATTTTAAATACAACCTTTTATTTATTGTATGTACTGTTTACTAACTATTGTTTGCGTTACGTTTGAGTTTGCGTTTGCTTTTGTGTTTTCCTTTATGTTTGCGTTTGGTTTTGCGTTTCCGTTGGCGTTTGCCTTACGTTTGCGTTTTGGTTTTTGTTGGTTATGGTTAGAGTTAAGTTTAGAGTTAGGTTTAGGGTTATGTGTTTTTTCTCAGACGTCCATATTTGCATATATTCATTTAATTGGAAAAGTAATATATTTTCAAAACCCGGGCGATGCCGGGTATATACTGATTAATAAAAACACAAGTCACGGCCCTTAACAGATAGGGTTTCCAAAGGGGCCAGTGCTAGGCAAGGCAGGGAAGGCTAGTCTATAATATAAGGCTATCATGAAGTGTGTCAGTGTGTCAGTCCGTCAATTAGTCACTCATAGCTTTAGATTAATGAAGAAACTTAAAAGTAAACAGCACAAGCCATGCATTACTTTCATTGCATTGTCTTATTACAAGAAATGGAGTACGGTCTATTACTCATGACTGCTAAAAAGTCATGTGCAATGGCGGTGAACACCCACCCATCTAAGAGAGATAACTCCAAAATCATACACCTTTTGGATTGCAGTTATTTTTTGGATGGACAAATGCTATAAAAGCAAACCAAGAAAGACAATCAAGCTGAAATCGGAGTCAATGGCCCATAAGGTGCTTAACATATTTACACGTAATACTGAATTGTGTATTAGGAAATCTTGTCTAATATTACAGTTCAGAATGAAGAGGAAAGTTAGTTGACAAAAACATTAGTGTATTCCACTCCCCCCCCCCCCGCCCCAATTTTAACAGTTTGAGGGACTTTTCAGCCGATATACATCAATAAAAAGTCTAGTCTGCAAGCCTATTAAAATTTAACAGGTAATTATGTCGATAAGACCACATTGAATCAGTAAGCCAATTTTGAATTCTCTAGTTGTAGAACTTATACTTGTTGTACCCAAAACTTGCTTTGAAAAAATAAATGTAACAGTAAAATGGAGAAAAATGGAAAAGTAGCATAAAATATCCGTTTCAGTGGTTCCCAAACTTTTTCTAGTGGCGACCCCTTTTTATAAAAATTAGGTGACCCGCGACCCCCATAGAATTAAAAAGTCGTAATTAGTAAGGAAATTAATCGGTACTAAAATTAGATTTACTAGTAGACTTTCAATATGAATTGTTATTGATAACTGTTTTAATACGATGAGTAAAACTGTATGCTATTTTAACTAGCCTTAACTTTCGCGGTTGAGGTTTTGTTACCGCCAACCTCATGTAATTCTTAACATTTAATTTATCTCTTTTTTGTTTTTAATTGGAGAAGTGCTGAAAATCCATTCTCAAAAGGCAATCAATTTCACGTTTGGGTATGAATGGTGCATACTACACCAAAATTGTGTGAGCAGTTTTTAATCTGACGCGGAATCATTCCGCTCATTTAAGAATCCATCTTGTAATTCATTGGGAATGCTGTCAACATCAAGGGAAGCAGAGCATGGGTAACGTGTCAATTCAGATTCTTCTTCTTTCAGCTCAGGGATGACGCCGCAGTTCGATGCCAAGAGATTCAAGATGCCCAGAAATCTGCTCTTTCAAATTTGTATTTACCTCACAGTCATACTCACCAAACATGGCAATATTTCAAAGATTTATTTTTCTTCGCCAATTTTGCAGCTTTGATAATCATGACAAGAGATAATATTCGTTCACTTTCCCCTAAGCTTCAAGTTAAGCTTATGTTGATGTTCGAATATATATGCTAGGTTTGCTACTCTCTCCAACCACTCTTTTTCGTTAAAGTATTTCAAAAGGTCTTGTTTTCCCTTGCACTTCAAAGAACAACTTGATTTCACCTTTCAATTAAAAAACACGATTCTCAACTTACTTTTGACAGCCAGCGTACTGTAATGTAGAAAAGCATAACCTCGTGATTTTTATTTATATCTTTGCACAGTTCTTTAAACAGACGGTTGTTTAGTGCTCCAGATTTACATATAATTTAAGACTTTCATTAGCTTTAGCAATGGAGTCGGAGTCTTGCTGGCGAGGGCATACCGGTGAATCATGCAATTGATTCCCCTTTGTTAGGGAGCTAAATCTTTTACTGTTTTCTGAAAGCTCGATTTGACCCAAACATAGATGGCGCACCATTCGTACAAACCCCACAGCCGTTTACCCATTTTAATCATCCAGTTTAAAAAAAAAAACGTATTTATTTTCTCCATGATATCTTCACATAATAGCAACTCTTCTTTCTCTTCTTTACTATCATCTGAATGAATATATTTCACAATTCACGGCTGTTCATCAACTCGAAAAGCAAACAATGGTGAAAGTTTGATTTCATTTAAAATGTATCCTTTAACATCTACAGACATGTCTGCTATAAGCCGCTGAATAGGATTATTAGACAGAAATATCTGTTACATCTTTACTGCACTGAATCCCCAAAAAATAATTTCACCATCTTCAACATTGAGGGTTTGATGAGATTTTCTCCTATTGTGTGAGAGGGTTTTTTTAATTTGCTTTTTTAAAGGCGACTTCATTTGATTCTTGCACTAATGCAAGAAAACTTCCTTTTCGATCAAGTCTCAGACGTTTTCAACTAGCTTCATGCCAACGAAACAACTCCATATCTTTTGGTCTGTTTTGAATGACTCGTCTCAAATTGACGTTTAAGTTTTAAAGGTTTCCTAGACTCTTTGCACAGTACGCATGGCTTCTTCTCTATTCCATTTCTAGTGATGTTAGTGAGGCCGAATTTCAGATATTCTTCTAAATAATTATGTTTTTTTTCATTATTAAGGTTTTGTCTACCAGTTGGCGACCCCCCCAGAAAGCCCTTCGCGACCCCCAGGGGGTCGCGACCCCCAGGTTGGGAACCCGTGGTTTAAAGAATACCGAACTAAATATTATCCATTTAAAAAGTATTTGATTTTTCGTTATAATGAGGTTTTTTAGCACATTTGTAATTTTTTTATTTTGAAAATAACTTGAATGGAAACTTTTTATAAACGTGTTTGAATCAAAAAAATTATAACCCTCTTAATAAAAAAAAAACAACCTTTTTCCGTTTTTTACACATCGTCTATGAAAAATCCCATATGCGTCATTATAATGTACTTTGCATCGTTGGAAAGATGGATTTCTCTTGTATTTGTTAATCGTATATTTAATCATCTCAAAAACAACCGGAGCCTTCAACTGGCTTTAAAAATTACATAGAAATGGTATTTTCCTGACCTAATTGTCGTTAGTTATTGATTAGCGCAATTTCCATACTGGACAATTGCGATTATTACCTCGTCATTTCTGGTGATGGATGGATGGATGGATGTGTGTCCGCAGCTTTAAGTCGTATCTCCTCCTCAACGAAGCAATATCGAGGACTAGTTCCAAAAGCAAATATGTTAAGCGAGTTCCGAGGATGATTGTGGGCCAAAAAAATTCCCGGAATTCCTTCCTGGATTTCCCGGAAAAGCCAAAATCCTCGAAAAAATGCAGTTTTTGGCCCATATCTCGGCAACCAGACCACTTATCGACTTGAAACATTTACCAATCGATTCCTGCCATAATTTAGACCAATATTGCCGAAGAAAGTTTTCAAAAATATCCTTTCGTTTGGTCACAAAAAATTAATTAAGAACATTTAAACTGATATTTACTACTTTTTAAAACTGAGCATCGTGTAGGCCTACTCGTTAAAATAAAACTATTTCCGTTGATATAGTTTAATATAGTTGTCTTTTTTTTAGCGCAAAAAAAATATCCTTTCGTTCGGTCACAA